TGTGGGGCTCAGATCTGTAGGTGATTTTGATCATCAAAGTAAATGACGAAGGAAGCTTCATGGATGGCCTGTGAGTCGGTGTTGCATTTTTGGCTGTGTGATTCTTGCAGGCAATAAGAGAACCAGTTTGGTGCAGTGATTAAGGCACTAAGCCAGAGGTGGCATTCTGCCGGTTCACCCCAGTTCGGACAATCTGGTAGTGATGGCAGCAGGAGGCTCTGCCCACCCACCCAGACGTCATCACAGATGACCTGTGCTTGCGCATGCGTTCCCGATTCCAAACCGGTAGTGAAGGTGATAGCATTTCATGTTTGCACCAAGCTAGAGAGTCTGTAAGCTCTAGTTCCAATTTAGACATGAAGCCAGCTATGTCTCTTTGGGCCAGTCGCACTCTCTTGGCCTCAGGAAGGAGACAATGGCAAACCACTTCTGAAACCTTGCCAAGAAAATTGCAGGGACTAGCCAGGGCAATCATCAGAGGTCAAAACTGACTTGAATGCACCTCCCTCAAAAAAAAGTAATGATTGAAAGCAAAGATCAATGTTTCTTTTCTATCTCTTTAAATAGCATGAAATATGCAAAACTTCCATTAATATCGAATATGTGGCCATGTCTTCTGGATATGAGGACCTTCTTCTAAATCAGTGTTTCTCAACCTTGGAGACTTTAAGTCCTGTGGACTTCAACTCCCAGAATCCCCAAGCCAGCAGGCTGGGGAATTCTGGGAGTTGAAGTCCACAGGACTTAAAGTCGCCAAGGTTGAGAAACACTGTTCTAAATAAAGAATTTCCTGATTTAGGGATCATATTCTGTACGTAGAAGATAAAGCAGAAAGCTCAAGAACACTCAAGAACCCACCTTAGTCTCCCCCTAAATAGAGAGAGATCAGTGAAACAGATAGATATTCCTGGTCCTCAAGATGTAGGAATTTCAATTTTCAGTGCTAGAAGCTAAGAATAATCTTTGCTGTTCCTCTGAGAAATGTGCAACTATAAGATGTATCTGTTTTCATAGCATCATAGTAAGTTCAATTCTCATAACATCAGAATAGATCCAAACTTTAAAAACCTGTTGCATGGAGAACAGGTTAGAACAAGTTAAAGAAACATGGTGATCAGCATGCTTTGCAGGATTAGAGTTTAATCTTAATTTTAACAGCATTGAAAATTGTAAGCAGTTTGTTCAATAGGAGCAATTGGTCTTCAGGAATGATTATAAAGACCAGCTGCAGATTATGATGCATCTGGCAGTTCAGTAGAGGCAGGAATATGAATTGCACCCAGAAGCAAAGATCTGAATTTGGGATATTTGCTTAGACTATCCTATGACAGCATGTATCTCTAAATCATCCAGGCCCAACAATTAACCTTAGCAAGCATCTCAAGTAATTTTTTTTCATTTTATTTTCAGAGACATTTTTGTAAATAATATAATGTCATTGTAGTCTGCCCTTTATTACCTGAGTTTGATAAGTGCCCCATAGCAATATACCCTGATGTAAAGTTTCTGACACCTGATATGTGAATATTTACGCTAATGGAATTTTGTATTTTATTTACATTGAAAAAGTAGTAGAGTTAGTTAAAGAAAGCACTGTTAATGCCTGGTGTCTCTAATCCTTCTCTGTTAAAGGGTGAGATTTATGCTAATACATTAACTGAGACAAAATTCCAGCTCTGCTGAACAGCTTTGTGTTTCTTGGGGATTATTTTTTTTAAATAAGACTTTTATTAAATTTTAGAAAAATGTAAAACACAAAAAAAGCAAGGGAAAAGGATTTTTTTTTAAAAAAAAGGTAAAGGGACAAGGAGAGTGCAGACATAAAAAGAGAAAAAAGCTATGGGAAAATATAACTTCTTAATTTCTTCAGTACAGATTAAAAAAACCTTAGAATGAGCATTAACAAATAGTATTTCTATCAGCATAAACTCGTTTGTCATTAAAACTTAAGAGTAAAATTTTATTTCTTTCAGATTCAAGCAAAAAAAANACGAAAATACGTTACGACGTCCTAGGCCCCTGGGTGGGGCCCGACTAGTAACCAATGCCAAATCCGGCGAAACAACTGGCCGCTTTGATACAATTGTATAATAATAATTTCTTGATGCAGTTCTGCTCTCTGGGACTCTTTTGTAAAAGCTCACTTGGGAAAACCATGTTGAATAGAAATAGGGAAGAATTAGGTCTTTAGGGAAGTCAAGACTGAGAGATTGTTTTCTCTCAAGAAAAAAGACCATATTTGTCATATTATAAGGATTTCTCTAGTAAATTTCGCTGAATAATCCCTTGGAGATAAATAGGAACTATGGTTTTTCTCCAGGTTTGTATATTTCTCTTTAAATATCTTTTTCTAAACACTGAAAGACTTCCCCAATAACAATGATGGCATATTTCAATGTTGTTTGTTTCTTCAATGAAAGCTTTCTCTTTCCCCATTCCTCGGAGTCATAGAACTGGATTTATCCAACTTCTTGGATAGCTTGTAGTTTCAGGAGCAATTCCATTCTTTGGATCAGGGATGATATGTTCTTCCAGGGATGATATGTAGATCTTCTTGATCTACAACTACCAGCATTCTTTATCACTGGTTATGCTGGCATAGATTTTTAGGAACTATAGTTAAACACTGTTTTGAAAGTCAGAACTTCCTCATTCTAGAGGTGAGAATTGCATGTAGCATTTCAAAGCCCTGAGTGTAACTTTCAGAAATTGGCCAGCTCTTAGATTGTGTATTTTTTTAATATTAGGAACAAAATTATTAAATACTTGGGTATTGATTTTATTCAGCATTATACATGAAATTAAATTTAGAATTATCCTAACCTAGTTTTGAAAATGCAATACCTTGGATGTCATTGGACGATTAAATACACTTCTGATCTCGAATCTGCAGTCATGACTACTGAAATTAGAATGCTAAACTAGAACCCGAGAAGGTTTATATTTATCCTTAGCCAGAAGCTTGCTGAGTGACTTTGGGCTAGTCACTCACTCTCATCCCAATCCTTATAGGATTGTTATTGGAATGATATGAATAAGGCAGATCTCTATGTGAGTTGCTTGAACTTTTGCAGGATATAATTGATAAATGAATGCAATTCCATGATCTAACAATAAAGCTTCAAAGACAATTGTTATTTTTGTATACATCACAGCATTACATAAATATGAGCAAATATAGACAATATAGTATGGTAATCCAAAACACAGAAAAACAATTAAATTGTGCTTAATTTTGAATACTATACTGGATCAGGCTTGTAGTTTGAAAGCTTCCATTATATTTCTGGAATATAAAGGCCATGTCTTCATTTAAGTCAACTCAAATCATGAAATCATGTTCAAGCTTTCAAGCTCTTCAGCATATAGGACTGTAGAGGAAAAAAGTAGTTCTCATGAAGCTATGGCTTCAAGAAATCACGGGTGGGCCAGGCCACCTGCCCTGGCTCTATGCTGTCTTATTTAGGCACATTTTTGAGGGCGGGCGCATGCATGGAATGTGTGCGCATGAGCAAAGCACATGGGTGGAAGGACAGGAGCATGCACGGAAAGGGTGCTTGTGCGGCGAACCAATGGTAATAAATTGTGAAACCCACTGCTGATTATAAACGTATATCTCTGAAGAATGCAGTTCTGTATTTTTAGACCCGGGATTTATTCTTTCAACCATTCCTAGTTGTTTTTTCCAAATAACAGAAGAATGTCAGCAGTGTATTTTTTTCTTATTGTATGTTGGATGCAGATCTGAAGTCCACATCTCTGAGTTTGGTTTAAACAAGTTATTTGTTTCGTAAGTAGGAGTAGAAGAGGAATTCATCTTTTTTAAAGACACTGGAAGATTCTAGATGCTCACTATGCTCTGTGGAGGATTGCAGTCACCTAGGATTTGTCTTTACTGACTTTCATAGTAGGAAAGTTTTGGTACTTGAAATAACCCTTGATATAAACTTTTGTGGTCCTTGATATAAATAACAATAATCATAGTGACATCTTGGCATATACGGTATGTCATTTTTAGTACAGGAAAGCTTCAGAACAAAGCCTTAGTGACCCACAGTTAATAATGAGCATAACTTATTTTCTGAAGCATATCACAATTGAAAAATGCATTCTTTAAAATCGTTTCAGTGTAGTAAATTTGATACACTCATTTTTATTTAGACAGTGAGGATTTTGAATGGTTCGTTTCCTTCTTCTGAGCACAGGACTAATATCAGTTGTCTCTGGATTTATTAGCTGGCCTTTTTCCCCCTTAGGACATCCAGGCTGAAATTGATGCTCATAATGATATCTTCAAGAGTATTGATGGAAATCGGCAGAAGATGGTAAAAGCCTTGGGGAATTCTGAGGAGGCTGCACTGTTACAACATCGTATTGATGATATGAACCAACGTTGGAATGATCTGAAAGCAAAATCAGCCAATATCAGGTAAGATCAGACCTGCACAACCCATACAGGCAAAAGGACAACATTGATACACTATCAATAATTGCATGTCAGAATTGCTGACATGTCAATCATCTGTTTGGCAGCTAATGGTGTGCTGGTAGCGCTGAAGCTTAGTGAAATCTGGAAGTGTTGGATTCATTTAACAATTTATCTTTTGGGTTGGAAGTGACCCGAAAAACTAGGCAGCGCTGTATCGTTCCAGTTGCAGAGCCATTTGTTGGCACTGGATTAGTTAGCTTTCAAAAAATAAGAAGTCTCCTTGGTGGCTGTGTGTGGCCTATGGTGGTTTTGTTATGCAGGCCTGGGGAACATTTAATAAAATAGATGCTGTTTTTAAAATTCCAATATTTTATGTATCTGCAGAAAAGTGCAGCATGTTACAGCAATTACAAGCTATTTTTAAAATTATTTGTGGACCATAATTTAAGAGACTTTTCCCCAGAGTGATGTCCCTCAGGTCCAGGCCTTTAATAAGTGTGGCCTTTAATTTCAGCACAATTAAGAAAATCAAGCTGAGAACAGTTGTTTAGCATGCTCTCATAGGGCAATCTATAGAAAAGAGAAGAAACCTTTAGTTTCCTTAACATAGGCAATCATGTGATCCAGAAAGGTAATTTTAAAATCCTGCTCCATAGGAAGTATTAATAGCAGTTGAGTTGGACAAATCCCAAATACATAGATATACAGATTAGAAAGCCTCATTCACCCCTATCAGCAGGCACATGAGGCCTCCTCTGAATAAAATCTTGATAAATAAATAATATTACAGGTAGTCCTGTATTGAGGACTACCATAATTGAGTGCAGAATTTATGTTGCCAAGTGAGAAATTTGTTAAGTGAGTTTTGCCCCATTTTACGTTTCTTACAATGTTTGTTAAGTGAATCAATGCAGTTGTTAAATCAGTGACATGGTTGTTAAAGTGAATCTGGCTTCCCCATTGAATTTGCTTGTCAGAGGATGCAACAGATGATTGCCTGACCCCCACCCCCCCGGGAACACTGCAACCACCATAAATATGAACCAATTGCCATGTTGCAGCATCCAAATGTAAATTATGTGACCATGGGGATGGTGCAACGGTTATAAGTGTGACAAATGGTCACAAGTTGCTTTTTTTAGTGCCGCTATAACTTTGAACGGTCACTAAATGAGCTGTGATAAGTTGAGGACTACCTGTATACAGGTGAAAGGGATCCATAAAAAAAAACCACTAGCATAGAATGGTTACAAAAAGTAAACCCAGAATATTAAATTGTTCTTTTTGCATGGTACTGCATATGGCTTTCATAGTAAATTGCTACCATGGATCCCAGAAGGGCATGCTGCTGCTGCTGCTATCTGCCTGATTATTAAGTCAGAAAAGCTTCCTTTTAAAAGAGTTGCTATACATCAGTGAAATGACTTGCACATTTCACCATCTAATGATAAGAGAAAAACAATCTTAAAGGGGCTCATTCATTTTGCATGCAGAATTATTATTATTATTATTATTATT